AGGCGGGGGGCGCAGAGGCTGCAGGGCGAGGAGGAGCAGGGCAGGCAGGGGCATAGAAGCTGCAGGGCAGGGGGCCGCAGGGGCAGGGCAGGCGGGGGGCGCAGAGGCTGCAGGGCGAGGAGGAGCAGGGCAGGCAGGGGCAGGGGGCGCAGGGGCAGGGCAGGCAGGGGGTGCAGAGGCTGCAGGGCAATGGGGGGTGCAGAGGCTGCAGGGCAATGGGGGGTGCAGAGGCTGCAGGGCAAGTGGGGAGCAGGGCAGGCAAGGGCATAGAGGCTGCAGGGGCTGTGGGGCGAGTGGGGAGCAGGGAAGCACTTAGCAACCCCCAATCAAGATCAGAGTGGGAGGGAGGAGGAGGAATGCGGGGTGCTCAGAGGAGGGGGCAGAGTTGGGGCAGGGACTTTGGGGAAGGGGTTGGAATGGGGGCGGAATTGGGGCAGGGCCAGGGCCCCTGTGGAGTGTCCTCTTTTTTCAGTGTTGAAATATGGTAATCCTAATATAGGATTACCATACATCCGTATTTCCCCGGACATGTCCGGCTTTTTAGTTGTTAATTGCCGTCCGGGAGGATATTTTAAATATATAAAAATGTCCGGAAAATATGGACGTATGATAACCCTACCCACTGCCCCCCTCCTCTTGGGGTGTCAGCTCGCTCAGCCTGCAGATTGCAACCCCGCCGTGCTGCTGCAATCCTGCGCCCCACGGCTAGGAGCGGTGGCGTCTCTGCAGCCAGCTGCTGGTGTGGGGGACCCGTGGCCGCTTCTCCCTCCTCCCAGCATCCCCCGTGGCTCTGGCAGAGCCTCAGTCTCCCCCCTCCGTCCCGGCTGTGCAAGGAACTCCCCCGCCAGCGGTCCGTGCAGCCGGGGCTGCCTCCCGCCAGCGGTCCGTGCAGCCGGGGCTGCCTCCCCCCGGCGGAGCCGCTGCCCGGGGGCGGGTCCGGCACAGGGGAGAGTTTCTCGGCGGCGGCGGCTCCCAGGAGCCCGAGCTCCCCCACCCGGGAAGGGCCTGCGCTGCAGCGCCTCCCAAAGCCTGAGCTGCTGCAGCCTCGCTGGGTCGGGCTGGGAGCAGAGTGGAGGCTCCTCTGAGGGAGGTGAAGGGTGGGAGATTTTGAGGGTAGGGGGCTATGGGAGGGGGTGGGGGCTCTGAGGCAGGGGCTGTGGAGAGTTGGGGGCTGTGGAGGGAGTGGGCTATGGGAGGAGGTGGGGAAATGAAGGGTAGGGGTTATGGAGGGAGGTGAAGGGGAGGACTGAGGTGGGGGCGCTATGGAAGATGGGGGCTATGGGAGGGGGTGGGGGGACTGTGGAGGGCAGGCTCTCAGGAGAGGGGGCACTGAGGCAGGAGAAGGCTGAGGATGGGCCCTGTGGAGAGCAGGTGGCTCTGGGGTGAGGCCTGGGGGGTCTGGCGGGTGGGAGGAAGGCAGCTCTGGGGTAGGGTTACCATATGTCCGGATTTTCCCGGACATGTCCGGATTTTTGGTCCTCAAATCCCCATCCAGGAGGAATTTCCAAAAAGCCGGACATGTCCGGGAAAATAGGGAGGCATGGTAAGGGGACCGCCTCCTCCCCGGGCTCCAACTTTCCCGGTTCCCGCCGCTCTCCACCGCAGCAGGGGGCCGAAGCAACTTCCCCAGCGCAGCAGCAGCTGCGGGACGGGAGGGAGGAAGGGGAATGCAGGGTGCTCAGTGGAGGGGACGGATTTAGGGCAGGGACTTTGGGGAAGGGGCGGAGTTGGGGCGGGGAAGGGGCGGAGTTGGGGCGGGGCGGAGGCGGAGTTGGGGTGGGGCCAGGGTCCTGTGGAGTGTCCTCTTTTTGCAGTATTGAAATATGGTAACCCTACCTATTATTGAGGGTCCGGGGGCCCAGCTCCACGAATGTTCGGGGCTGGGTCTCCCCCCTGGCCCCACCTGCTGCCCCCCCGCGCCTCCCCTGAGTGTGGGCTGGCCCCCCTTTGCTGCCCCCGTGCACCTCCCTTCAGTGTCTCTCCCCTGAAGCTCCATGCTGCCTGCCTGTATTAACTGCCACCGCAGGGTCCTAGTGTCCCCTCTCCACTACTGCCAGAGCAGGCTGCCCTTCCCCCTCAGACCCTTTCATTTTCCAGTGGGACCCTCCACCAGTACAGCTGCTCCCCCCTGCCCGCAGTCACCGCTCTTGCCCCACGCTGGGCAAGGGGCAGCCCCATCCCCCACGCCCAATGAGGCTACAGTGAGGGGCAGCAGCAGGGGAGGAGGCGCACATGTGATAGCAGCCTCCCACCCTGGCATGGCACCCAGCACAGGGGAGATGAGGGGGATTCCTGGACCTGAGAGGGGCCCTAGGAGCACGTGCAGTGGCAGTGGGGGGGTGAATGTGCTGCCGGGGGAGAGAAGGGGGTCCCTACCCCAGAGCTCACTGCTGCCAGCAGGGAGAGGGCTGGGGGGAGTCCTCCTCTCTGGCTCCAGTCCCAGGGCAGCCTGCCTGCACCCCAAACTCATCCCTAGCCCTGCCCCACCCCAGAGCCCACACCCCGAGCCAGAGCCCTCATCCCCCCGCACCCCAACCCTCTGTCCTAACCCTGAGCCTCTCCAACACCCCAAACCCCTCATTTCCAGCCCCAGCCAGAGCCCTCATCTCCATGCACCCTAACCCTCTGCCTCAGCCCTGAGTCCCCTCCCACACCCCAAACACCTCATCCCCAGCCACACCCCAAATCCACCCCCAGCCTCACCCCACAGCCCTCATCCCTGCACCCCCTCCCTCCACACCCCCTCTTATCCCCAAACTCCCTCCCAGAACCTGCACCCCCTCCCTCCGTACTCCCTCCCATCCCCAAACTCCCTCCCAGAGCCTGCACCCTGCACCCCTCCTGCACCGCAGTCCCCTGCCCCAGCCCAGGGCCTGCACCCCAGACCTCCTCCCCCACCCAAACTCCCTCCCAGAGCCTTGGGCAGGTGGGGGTGGAGTTGCGGGGGGCAGAGTTTAGGCAGGGGCAGGTTCTGGGCACCACCAAAATTTCTACAAACCTGCCACCCCTGCCGGCAAGAGCTGGTGCGCCATACCAGGGTGGACCGGCTTCCTGAGGCAGCAATTTAAAGGGCTGGAGCCCAGGGCCCTTTAAATTGCCACCAGAGCCCCACTGCCAGAGCCCTGGGGTAGCGGTGGCAGGGCTCGGGTGGCGATTTAAAGGGCCCAGGGCT